AAAAATGCGCCAAGAACTATACTTTTAGAGTAAGGTAGCTTGGATCATACTTACCATTTAAGAGAGATTTTAGAAGAAAACTAATTTTCTCACTTATGAAAATTTTCTGTACTGTTCAAATGTTCATGTCCAAGTGGTGAGGGGCATGTTACTAAGGAAAGAGTCCTGATTATGTCCCTGGAAACCAGGAAGGGGGATTGGCTCCACTCACCAGCACTGCTGGGTAAGAATCATTTAACCAGCTATAAATCCCACCTAATTATTCCATTATTCAGTCTCCTGATGATATGTTGTTTAGAGAGATGCCATGGGTCACAGTTTGCCAGCTGCCTTTCTTGATTTGCTATGGTAACTCTGTCAAAAAACGTGCTTAGTCTGACATGTCTATTTTCAACGTAGCTTAATTTTCTTATTTCAAAATTGTTCAGTGCATTCAGATAAAATTAAAAATCAAGCTGGTCAGGACTCCAATCCCTTCATCATGGGTTTTAGGGTTCAGAACCACTGCTATAGCTGTCCTGACACGGCAGATAGTGTGGCAGGAAAACTTTTCTGGACCTATAATATACTGAAGTTTTTCTTTTGTTTGCTTTTAAATATAGAGGATCTGGATGTGTACATATTATCCACCTTACTCAACTAAAAACTGCTTTGAGCCAACAGTCATACTTTAGCTATGTTTCTAAAGTTCATGCACGGTACCCTGCATCTAACAGAGACTTAAGCGCATTATTCACTCAAAATGGGATAGATAAATGATTTCAGGTTACACTTGTGTGTTTAACCTTCAAAATCTGCTCAGTTCTCTTATGCTTTAATGTCTTCCTGCTACTACTTCTTTTCAAGTAAGGAAGTTAAGCATGACAGTTTTTGAATCGCTGTGCGTATTTGTTTATTCTATTAACATCACACAAACCTGTATTTTACTTAAATGTGATAATTAGATTTTATAATATCCCTTTTGGTCTAGGTAGTTTTTCCAATTCTCAATTCATTTTTGGTTTGGTGGCCTTCCTAATACTGTTTTTACATAGCTATGCTGCTTACATAAATCTATCTATCACTTGTTATATCCTCTTTCCCAACTTTTGTAGAAAAGTATTTTACAGTCTTTTTAAAGCACACAACTCTGATTTCAGATATATCGCTTCTTCCTTAAGTTGCCATGAAGTATGGTTGTGAGTGTATTGCCATTCAATTGAATTTCCTTGATGATATCCAGCTACATTTTCCTAACCAGGTTTCTTAACCTAGCTCCTCGGTTAATTAAGACTGAACTTATTTCTAGAGGTTTTGTAATAATATGTGTGGAATTTAGGTTGTGGAAGTGACTGAGAGATGATTGAGTGAAAATAGTAGCTGTAGGCTACTATTGTCTTGGAAGTTAAGGGTAGGATACGGATAAGTCAATACCTGGTAGGGTCAAATGATTATATATAAATGTTTAAATTTATTTGTATTTTGCAGTGCTGGACATTGAACCTTTGCTTTGGTCTTTGTGCATGCTAGGCAAGTGCTGTACCATTGAGGTATAACCTTGGCTCAAATAATGACTTTTAGAATATAGATTTAACATGAGAATGTTTGAATACTGATGGACATAAAGAGATGTCTGTGTCTAGATGAACAAGTTAGGGGTTTGTTAGGAGTTCATGGTCAATGGACATGCCAAGTTTTAACAGGATTAAGTCGGATCCTGTATCTCTATGCTGAAATTCAGTCAGATCTTGAATCTCTAAGCTCTAAGTCAGTCGGATCCTGTATTTCTATGCTCCAAGAAGAATACCCTGGACCTGCTATTTTCATGAACTTCAATGAGATTATCAAACCTGTCTATGAATAATTTCATCCTTCAATTCGTGATATAGAAAGAAGAAAATGTAAATAAAAGAGAGAGAGAGAAAGAAACTAAAACTAGATTTCCATGTGAGCTAGAAGGAATACTTGTCTACTTGTCAGGAGACTTTTCTTAAATTCAATTGCAGGCCTCAGGTAAGCATGGCTCATTTATATAATTATTTTTCCTGCATAGTACTTAAAAATTGATTTTGAATGTTTTAAAATGTAACAAGTGCTTACTTATTTATTTTAGTTTATACCACTCCCTGTTATTTTATATCCTACCCATAATTTGTTACCTCTAATGGAGATTTTAGTTTGCAAACTCTGCTCCCAGACTACAGGTGATAATACTTTGATCAAGAACTTTCTGATAAGAATAGATGAATTTTCTAAAAGACATGAAAACTTGAAAGCTCCCTTTACTACCAGACCTTGCTCTATGCCACACTTGTATTTTGGATGAAACAACCATTTAGAAGACACTAAAAAAGATTATTGGAATAAAATTGTTTTATTTGATTTGTTAGCTTTATATAATTGCTTTTTAATATGTTCCTTCCTTTGATTTTAGAGTTTCCATATTTGCATTGCTTCTGCTAGTAACACATTTGCAAAACTAGAAAATGTGTATAGTGTGTTTGGTTCATTTAAATTATTATACAAGGCAAATAACATTCTTTCTCCAAATATTTTCTCATGTAATGATAAATTACTACAAATTTCTTCTTTTTTGTTCACTATTTCTGATGGAGCAAAAGAAATGCTTTCATAGTTCTGTTTCATTTAAATTAACATGTAACATATTTTTGTCCTCTTTAGCTAAACTTTTAAGAGTATAGATTTTAGAACATAGTTCAATATTTCAAATTTGGTCCTCTGAAACTTTCATCTTTCTATCACATTACATTCCACAATATCCTTTCTTATCTTCTGTTTCTATTTCTATTAGAAGAAAGAGCATTTGCAGTGCACCCATGTCTGAATTTTCCTGGTCAAGACATTAAAATCAAAATGGCTTAAGGAAGCATCCTTAGTTTCTTTTGATGCGTGACTCACCAGCACTAGGTTCTAGCTCCTGGGTTTCAAAAGTTATAATGGTCTTCCTATTACAACCTGGATACATCTTCCAGAACAAAAGTAGACTGAAAATTGATACCTCATCCAAAGTAATGATAGAGCTCAGGGACCATTTTCTTCTGGTCCAGATATGGTTCCCTGAAGCCTACTCATGCCTGTATGTGTTTTTTTATTTCCTCAAGTTTTATTTCCAGTGGATATTATTTATTCTTAGTTTCTCCAAGAGCACTGGGTCACGCCTTGTGTGGCTTCTATACAGTTCCATAGATACAATTTTTGTTCTTGTCTTCCTCAACAGTATTTCTATCCTTATCCTGATGTCTATGTTGACGTTATTTATATTCCCGCTCTGCTATTCTATGGAGTAAAACGAACTTCCTCAGAGTCTTAAAATCTTCCCATCTATGATAGGATCCCAAATAGCTATCACTAGTTTCTGTCTTTGGTGAGGTTGATAAGGGTGCAATTGTAATTGATTACATTTTCATCTTTTCTGATCTAAAAACAGTCACTGTAAATAGGAAATAAGCTAGGTTTCTAGAAGGCTTTATATATTCTAAGCTTTAAATTTTGTCCAGGATATTCTGATATTTGCAAAATATCATTGGAAAAATTCCTAGTGATTTAGTAATTTCTCATCAAATTCAAATATAAAATAAAAACAGAAAAATCTAAGGGAGAAGGAAAGTGAAATACATTTAAAAGGGTAAAGTGAATTATAGAAACAAAGATAAACATGCTGAAATATGCATAAATAAAATGATTAATCTGTTAACAAAATAAATATTTTAAAACAAGTAGCTATCCAAACTATTGTGAACTATTTTATAATATATTGGGAATGGCAAATAATTTGGTAAAGAGCCCAACAAGTTGTCAAAGTAGATTAAGAAATCTTAAAATCTAGACTGTGTTTTTATATTAAAAGTAATCAGCTTTTTCCTTCTTTCCTCACATGATTTTTTTATAGTGTAAGGGGTTCCTCTTCTGAGAAACAGAAATCTAAGGAGGATTCATCTCTCTACTGCACATCAGTTCCCATGGCCTCTGATGATTCTTATGCTTTCACACTGTGGAAGTCAGGAAAGGCATATGTGGATAACCTACAATCACAAACCTGAAACATGAATATTATACACAGAATTTCTTTTGGCATTAAAGCAGGAAACTCAGCCTAGGTGTTGGAGTATCACTTGTAAATAATCATTCCTGTTTGAGAAACCCAAGGAATTAGACATCAGTCTTACTTTGCTCAGCACTTACCATTGGACCTAGAAGTTCAATCCTTTCTCGCTAACTCTAAAAATAAGTATATAGGATGACACTCATCCAAAACCAGTCAATATCATTTCATCATATTTCTATTACCTACTAATTATGTTTCAGAAAATTTTACACATATATATGTATGCATGTATGTGAGTATCTTTTGATGAGTATGTACTTATCTAGGGGTATTTCAAATATACTGATTTATATTTTTATTCTATTAGTAACTGACAGTTAATCTAGCCCAGTCCCTATTTCCCTATTCTTTCCTCTCTCCCTTCAAAAACTGTGATAACTTTAGACAAAGAGATCCTATCCTTTACATTGGTTGCCTTACATTTTATTATACTTTATTCTGACTTAAAAATTTCCTTGGTTTTTGTGGGGATCTCAATATTTTAGAAGAAAATCTTTTATATTCATATATTAAGCTTTCTAAGTGGCAATATGAGCAATTGTCTTAAAGCTAGTCTGAATTCTGCAAATTACGAAAACATTGTTACTTATCCACACAATAGGGAGGACAGTAATAACACTTGGTTATTGTGCCTTCACAAGAATTAGCATTAAATAAATTCTAGCTACTGCTATTAACAGAGAAATAAAAGGACTGAACGATTTACAATATTCTTTCACTATAACTTTTATTAATCATTATTCAACTAAATTGAACTTACAAAGCTCCTTAAGTAGAAAGTTTGTCAGGTAGGAAAGAGAAGTGAAAAGAAGAGAAATGAAAGATAGATGGACACTCAGATGTGACAAAAACAAGTTGCAATGGAAAGTCAAACACAGGCCTATTGCATACTTACGGAGCTGTCCAAGTCGAGCTTTCTCTTTTTTACCAAACAAACGTCCTATTGAAGACTTGATTCCTTTTTTCTTGGGGGCTTTGTGAAGAGAGTCTTGGCTGCTATTGGCACTGCCAAGCCCAAGGCTTTCTGGCTCAAGAGAGGCAGATAAACTCAAGAGGGCAGACAAAAGAGAACAGGACAAGTAGATTTTGAATGT